TATAGTCAAATCATTTTATCTTCAACTTATCTTTACATGACCATCATCTGTGAGTTTCTAGAGGGTAATATTATTTTTAATAAAATCTCCCCCAAAATAACTAGACATACATAGTAGGTTCTCACACAACGCTAATAAAATTTTCTACTCAGGACTTCAAATACCTATTAAAGTGACCATTTTGTGATTACATATCACTAAATATCTGCAGTATTCCTAAAAATCTCTAATAATTATAACCAATTTGAGATGATGTGTTGGTAAAATGTTTAAATCATCTAGCAAATAAAAAGGTATAAACAAACTAGACTTTGATCATAATAATTTTTGTAATCTGAATTGTTGGTAAATGCTGTTTTAAAAACTACTCATATCAAATTTATTTAACAATCTACCAATTTACCAAAGAAACTGACGTCATTCTGGTAGTTTATTATAGATAACTTTATAAAATAAAACAACATACATATTATTCAAATAAGCACCTATATAACATCTCAGAATTACAAATATCTTATGTTAAAAAAAACTGACTTCATGTTTGAAAGTTAGAATTTATAACAATCTACCACAACAGTCACTAAATTGGAGGATGACTTAATTGGGAAAATACAGATATTTGAAGCTAAAATTGATTTTGCAGAAGGAAAGGGTAACCAATTCCTTATAGTAATCTTAAAGACAAGTAGCTCCCTCTATAGACTGTTTGGCCTACTTGGTTTAATTATTAGCTTTGTGAACATCTCACACTCTCTATTTACTCCTACTCTGCATCTCAGCAGGCAAGCCCTTTGAAAGGATAATTCTGTTTAACCTGGTGCTGAGAAAACAGAGAACTGTTGAAACTTGGAATAAAGTAAGTTACATCAAACAACAAAGCAAGAACTAAGATGTGGAAATTAGACAAGTCTCAAGTCCACCTGAGTCAGGTCCTCAAAATGAAGCCTCAGGATTTTATGTGAAACAAATTCCCTAAGCAGTCACGCCCATATTCAGATCTAAATGAAAAAATATTTTCCTACACTTTATTCATAACCTTGCTTCTCTCCATTAAAACAAGTTACTAAAAATGTCTTTATAAAAGGAAAAAAACCATTTTTTCCAAAAATGATACTGCTCAAGACTCAGTAACATCAAAACAACATTCAAGACATTTTTAAAATGAGTTCAAGAAAAGCAGAGGCTTTTTAAAAAAAACTAACAATTCCACCACTCACATGAATAAAATGTAAGTGACTCTCAAGAATCAACCCTCCGTCAGCAAGAGATTAAATCATCATTCAGGACTTACCATTCAAAATTAATGTGCCACTTTTAAAAATACCTTTTCAAATTTCACCAGCTCATGATATGGAAAAATTTCAACCTAAGATACTTAATTTATTTTTACATTACTCAAAAGATGTCCCCAAAACATAGGACAACCAGAAGTCAACTGGACTGTTTTCTAAAGCAGAAAAATACTTTTCATGCAATAATAGAAAACTGTACTAGTACAAGTGTATTAATCCAATCAGTTCAGAATTTACCATTTTGAAACAGTCATTAAATTTGAGAAAATTTCTTCTGTTAATGTTGTTCAGGATCTCCTTTGTTAAGCAAACTCAATTTAAAAACATCTTTTCTCCAAACCAAGGTAAAGACTTAAAAACTTCCAAAAGTAACTCCTATATATGAATACACGTATTTATGGCATTTTATGAAATAAAGGTTTATGTATTTATTACAAATTTGCATTAACTTATTTGACTTGTTAGTAAAGATATAAACAGTGTGCTTTTTCAAATAATAAATCTGTCTTCATAAAAATTCTAGCATTCGGCCTTATTTACTGGATAGCCTGTACTAGTTTTCTTTAGAGACTTAAAAAACAGAAAATCTACAGTTTTTTATGTTTAATTAACATTAATCCCAATTGCTAAAACTTCAAGTGGGATTTATAAAAACTCTAAATGCAGGCCAAGGGCTTCAAATTTTTCTCTTATTGAAGACAACAAAAATTTTTGTTTGAACCTGTGAACTATACAGCAAATTCAATTTGATAATCCTTAATAACTTGAATTTTTGGTTTCTCTGTATTCTGTATCTTTCAGCATGTGGACACAAAAGTTTTACTTTTTTATTCATCTACACTATACATTTCAAGGTAATAATGAAAAAAAATGGGGGGCTTTTTTTTTTAAAAAAAAGGAGGGGCTGCTCTATTTTGAGATGTCCAGGAAAGAAATAAGCATTTCTTATCATAGAATAGTTTTTTTTTAATATGCAGAAACACTAAAGCATATCTTTTTTTTATTTTTAAGGAATATTCTCTCATAACAGAATTACTGTAAGTTTATACTGAGATTTATTTCCACAAACAAAACTTTCCTATAAACAGTTTGAAAATCACATATTTAATGACTTATGTGGAGGAGAAAAAACTGTGTAGAAAAGTAACCCAAACTATACAAACATTAATGCCACAATATATTATTAGCATGTTGCTTTGCGATTTGGAAATCTGGCTGAACAAAGCTATATCAACTTCACTATCTTATCCTTCTTCTGCATCTGAAGTGAGAACAAACAGTATATTACACTGAAATTCCAATCAAACAAAGACAGCACCACTATATTAAAAGGGTAGAAGACCTATCCTTCAAAACATTTTATTGCGTCTCTTTTCCAGACTTCAAAGTTTCAAGTGTTATATTTTCTACAAATTATTAACAGCATTCAAATTCCCCATCTTCCAAGGTTCATAAATCTTTCACTATTTAAAAAGGAATATGTTACAAAAATCTCACGATATTGACATTTTTAACAAAGAGAATTCACACTACAAGACACTTGCTTGAAATAAGTGCTTGTGTTTGGGGGAAGTGCTATTATCTTGGTAGTCCACAGAAACTGACTGTAGTAATAAGATGAATGGTGATTAGGGCAAGGAGCATCAAGTGGGAAATGCTATCTAAAATCCCATAGGACAATACATAGCTAGAGGTAAAAGCATCCTTTTCCAGGAGGCAGCTTCGTTATTTCATGTAAGCAGTTCAAAGCATGTTTTTTAAAAAAGCAAAAACAATTTTAAAATGGTTTGTAAATTTGGCCTTTATGCTATTTATATTATCCCAAACCCCTAGGAGCTTTTGAGAACGTGGCTTCTGCCATTGCTGTCTTCTCATCCCAAACCTTCTTCAAAATATTATCTTTTTATGTGTGTGTGTGAAAAAAAAAAACATTTTAATGCCTATATTTAAAATGCAATCCTACAACCCAGCCTAGGGGCATTTTAAAATGTCTGTTCTGCTGAGTTCGGTTGTGGATTACCATAAATTCACCCCATTAGGTCTGATGTTTCACATTGGGCAACATAAAAACGCATTTCCTACTTCCATGGACACATATTTTCTGAAAGCGTTGCACCTGAGGATGCTGCCATGTCCCCAGACGCTGAGGCTTTAAACTCTAAGCAGTCTCGACCAGCGCTCACAGCAGAGCCACATGGTCACTTCAATGAGAAAGATTATCCGGCCCCAAGCGCCACTCTCTAACAGCCCAAAGCATCTCCGGAAGGGGCAGAGGAGAGCGAGGGTGAGAAGAGGCGAAGGGGAGCAACTGAACAGAGCTGGCACTTCCCCCTCTGTTCTCAAAACCATTTCCAGAAAGGGGCACCTGGGAGACGCACGGGGTGATCAGGGCCCCACCAGCGACCGACCTCTGAGCAGGGTCGCTCACAGACGTCCACCGAGACCAGGCTCGGACCCCTGGCCCATCCTCCGGGGAAAGAGCGGTCTCGCGGCACCCGTTCCCCGAGCCCGTGACCCGAAGTGTGGCTCTAGCCCTCTGCCGCCGCACGCAGTGTAAACACTCCGCGCCTCCCCGCCCGGGGGCGGCGCAGCGCTTCCGCGAACCCACATTTTTGCGCCTCTTGTCACGCACCGGAGAAAAGG